AGCACACCCCACAAACGTGTCGTGGCAACATATGAGCTCCACCGAAGACGATGTTCTCACAATTCCATAAGGTTGGCCCGTCGCAAAGTCATGTCTTTTCTCTGTGTTTTACCATCGCTATGCTAAACGGTGTTTCAACTGAATTCTGGATGCGAAGCAGTTGCAGGGCTCCTGGTGCGTATTCTAAAGGCATCCATCTGATATTTCGAGGGACATCAGATCGCGTTTGTTCGTCGAAGTGTTCTTTCCTTGCAACTAGTTTCTCGGCTCGAACTGTCTTTAAATAGATTTTGATTATGGGGTACTTTAGATCGACTCCGACCCGACTTGTGTCGAAACATTAGCCGCTCTAACAGTTCTGCGATTTCGAACCGCCTTACTGTATTCAAGTGCTTGAATACATCAGCAAACGACATTGCTCTCATACTTATCAAACCGAATCATCTGTACCTGCGAAGGCGTTGGCCGTGGCAGGCGAGCGACGCAATACAAATGCAGACCGAGCACCGCTCAAACCAGCGAGCGCGAGCAATAGAATAGCGAGAGATATTAGTTTATATTTTTAAATATATACACATATATTAATATATGAATATATATTAATATACTAAGATATTACTATATATATAATATAGTAATATATATATATATATGAAAAAATAGGGCTCGAGGAAAGCAAGCAACAAAAAAGGCACCACACACGCCAACGAGACAACGCTAAGAAACGAACGTCCGCTCCATGGAAAGACAAAGAAAAACAAAGAAATATGAACGAGAGAAAGGAGGCGGAAGAGAAAGGAAGAGAATAAGCTTCTGGATACTGATCACGTATTTCTACGCCGACTTCGGGTACTATCGCAATTAGTTCGGGCTCAAGCTGTTTCTGTGCTCAAGTACTATTATTGATATGCTTTACGATTTCGGCAGTACGCGCTACCCTCACCAACCAAAGGTACATCAAACGCCTTTTCTGCGCTACACGCGGCAACGGTCTCCCCGACAGCACAGCAGCAGAGTGGAGGCGGAGAAGATAGATCGAAAAACACTCTCGAAGTTTTTCCTCCTGGGGAGGGGGCACAACATTCCTGCGCGGCGCAGTCCTTATTTTTTCCTACGCAGCCTCCCAAGGATGACCAGCTCTCACAAACATTCAATCTCGACACGATCTGAACGCACTATGAAAATACAGCTTTCAACAATGAGGGGGCGAGGAAGAAGGGAAAAGAAGAACGAACATCCAGACAATCGAATAAACTTTTGGCGCGGCACGGCCGGGCACAAGCCACCCGCACCTGCCTGAAAAAACGTGGAACACCACGAAGAGAGACCAAGAGAGAAGAAGGAAGAGGGAAGGAGGGGAGGAGAAGGAGAGGGAGGGAGAGGAGGGAGGGAGGGAGGAAGAGCAGCAGCAGACCGCGAACGACGAGGAGAGAAAGAGGAGGAGGCGAGCGGGAGGGGGGCAAGCCCCAAAAGCGGCGACGCGCGACGCGCGCACCATGCTCTCCAACCAAGGCGACTGGGGGCTGGGGGTGGAGAAGAAAGGACAGCAAGCAGGAGGCAACCAGTCGCGGCAGCGACGGGTGCCAGCGGAAAAAAAACGACAACTGAGTAAATCCTGCCACTCAAGGTACGAACTTGCATAATCGCGTAACAAAGCCTGGCATAACGATCGAGAGTCTGAAACTGAGCGGGCGGCTACAACGCTGTCAGGGAAAATATTGTAGACACTGACCAGGCCCAGCATAGATCAACGAGGGAAGTCCGGGGCCCGCAAATGGAGAGGATCCCCCAAACGCCGGACATGGCGGAAGAGGAGGAGAAGCGACGCGGAAGAAAAACGGAAAAAAAACAGCCCTGACCAAGAACGGCGAGATGAATGACCCCGAGCATGGTAATGTCACGCCTGCTTGGCAGATGGGCTGAAAAAAATGAAACATAACCTCTTTTACTGGAAAACGTGTTTGGACACCGTCCAAGGGAGCGAGAAATGAAGAAGAAACGAAGTAGCGCACAAGTCCGGCATGACTCGGAGAGCTCCCTTAAGAGCGTTAGCGGCGAAGCTAGGGAGTGACTCGTAGAGCTTCCCTAAGAGCGTTAGCGGCGAAGCTAGAAGAGTAATTCCGGCGCGCTGGGGGGCGAGCTGGCAAAAAAAATCGACGGAAGTTTTGGGAATGTTTGACCTGTATTCAATTTCTCGAAATTCAACAGGTCGTTAGAGCTCTAGTATTTGTTCTCCTCATATTCGATCTTATTCCCGCTCGCCGTCTCAATCTCGGCTCGATCGGGTACCTACTACTGCCAAAAAGCACTCCGGCGGAAACGGGTTGTTTTGGGTCATTGTGACAGGTGCTGTCGGTTTTCTGTACTTAACTCGAGCTGTAGGAAAGCTACAGAACTGGTACGCACACCTCATCGATCTAGAATCGTAAGGCGCGCTCGTCTGAAGTATCCAAATGTCTGAACTCGGTCTCCTACTCGAGCTAGGTCCGCGAAGCTATTCGTACTATTTGTTTGAGGAAATGATGATGCATTTCTTGACTTTACTCGAGCTGCAGATCAGCTACAAAGTTGTTCGGCCGCAATCGGAAGGGAATCATCAGGGGCGATAGTCCAAAGCATCTAGACGCCTAAACTCGGTCTGCTATTAGTGCTGGGACTGGAAGAGAAAAAAAAAAAAAAAAAAAAAAAAAAAAAAAAAAAAAAAAAAAAAAAAAAAAAAAAAAAACTATTCGTACTCGGCTGTTTTTTTTTTTTTTGAGATGGTGATGGATTTCTTGGCTTAACTCGAGCTATAGATGAGCTAGAAAGCTCTTCGGCCAATCAATAGGAAAGAAATCATGAGGCGCGCTAGTTCAAATTATCTAGACGCCTGAAATCAGTCATTAGGCGCACCAGTTAAATATCTAAACGCCTCACCTCGGTCTGGCTTTTTATTATTAGTAGTAGTAGTCTTATTATTATGTTTTAGATTATTTTTGTACTTTTATATGTTTAAACTAACCTCGCTGCAGCACGAACAAATGACCTCACCACACGTGAACTTAAAAGACTGCGCGTGCGACGTCTCTCAGAGACACCACGAGAGCAGGAGACCGACAGACAGGATGGATTTTCCCATCAAACGCCCAGAAAGCGAGAAGAGGGCCTGCCCGGCCCTGCGCGGCATCCAACCACTAGGAAAGCAGCACAGAAAGGAGAGGGAGAGGAGCAGGGAAGGAGAGGAGGGGGGAGGGGGGGGAGGAGGGGGAGGGAAAGGGAAAGGGAAGGGAGAGCAAGCAGACGACAAGGGAGAGGAGGAAAAAAGGAGGAGGAGAAGCGGGAAGCGCCGGACGCGCCGCGCAAAAAGCGCACCCCGGCTGCAGTCCATACAGCACGAAGCGCAGGGGGAGGAGGAGAAGGCGAGAAGGAGGGGGAACGACAGACGGACAGCAGGCACGACGACGAACGAACGCGCCGGCGGGACACGACAGCAGCAGGCAAAAGGGAGGGAAGGGAGGGGGAGACGAAGGGGGAATGGAGGGGAGGGAAGGGAGGGGGAGGGGAAGGGGGAAGAGGCGAGACGAGCAACTAACCGCGCCGTGCGCGACATGCCCGCAGCGGGTGCGAGGCAAGGGGGAGCCGCGGTGAAAACGCGTGCTTCCAGTCGGCGCAGCGAAGAGCACGGGCACGAAGGAGGCGCTGCAGCCTCGACTGGAAACGGGACACAGACTGAGCTGCTATGACAAAATCGGGCAATAGATTATAGATCCGGGTAGCACCAAGAGCAGAATGATGAAATATATAATCAGGTGAATGAAAAGCCGGTTCCTCGAGGTGACGGCGGTGGCGCAAGGAAGAGCGGGGAGGGGGGGGGAGGACAGGGGGCGGAAGAAGCGGGAGAAGCAGGAAGGGCCGAAACCGAGGACACACCCGTGGATAACACCCAAAATGCTCATATCACGTCTTGTGACGAATTCATGAAACGCGCCTGTACGGCATCGAGAGGAAACAAAACCGACGATGAAGCATGGTACACTGCACACGTGCGATACTCGATATATGACAAAACGTGCGCTTTGAACACTCCTACAAGCTCTGCGCCAGTGTGAAAGCGCCGCGTGCGCACAAGGCTGTACACGCGCCAGGACGCATCAAAAACGCATTGTTCCACAGCTTCGGACATCACGAGCTTGACATCAAACAGTACGCCGAGAATCTTAAATATATTGCCAGAAGGTCGTGTTCTAGAGAAAAAGTGCGTGCTCTCTTTCGTGGCATCAGAGCGCACCTGATTTGCCTCGCCCCAAGCGCGCAGAGAAGCCCGACAGTTCTGAGCGAGCGCAAAAGCATCATCATCGGTAACGTCGCTGGCAACGGCCCTCCAGGCATTCAAATCGTCTGCATACAACACTTCCTCGAAACCCTCTGCTCGCGTAGCAAAACAGGAATCTGAGAAAAAGGAGTTCCAAAGCGGCGGCCCGAAAAAAGTCCCTTGATACACCACGTCGCGCATGGGAAAGGGATGGGATTTCTGACCACCGACTACCACCCGAGCGGTGCGAGGACGAAGCCAGCTGGTTATGAGCTCAACGAATCACCTCTGCACTCCGAAGGACCAGAGCTTCTCGCACAGACGCTCTGCCTTAACATGATCAAAGGCACCTGAAACATCAGAACAGTAGAGCGCCACCCCATGACCGAGAGAGAAAGCAAGGAGCCAGGAAAGGACCAGAAAGAGGAGAGCGCCACGGGCTCCATGCTCTTGTCGGCAAGCAAAAAGACGCGGGCCGCACGCACCAATCCGTTCCAGCCGGGGAAGAAAGAGGCCCCCGATACCACGTTCCACTACCTTCGAAAGCTGCGGGGTCAAGTGCAGACCTCGATAATTCTCAGGATCTGAAGTTGCCTTTCGCTTGTGCAGGGGAAACAACCAGCGCTCGCACCACGAAGCTGGCCAACGACCAAAAGAGACGATAGATCTAGCCAACAGACACACAGGTAAAGCCAGCTCTCGGGCGCGCTTCGTTCTGGTAGGTGCGGAACTTCTCAAGCTCGACTTTCGAGGTGCTCGCATCCTTGCCCGTGAGCGAAGGCTTCGCTGGCTTCAACTTCGACTGGGATTCGCGCTGCGCCTCGGCCAAGCTCTCCTGGGCGCGCGTAAGCCCCTTCAGCAGCGCGCTCTGCTCCTCGACCCCAGCACGCTGCTGGTCGGCCATCTGGCGCATGAACTCCATCATGGCTGCGGCGATGCCAACGTCCTGGGACGACGCACCCGGCGTTGCCGCCGACTGCCTCGAGAGTCCTGGTGGGACCGCAGGTCCTGGATCGACTGGTCCAGTCCGACTGCCGAAATCCATGTCGTCCTGCTGCTCCCAGTGGCCTTCGGCGTACTCATGCTCATGCGGTCCTGGAGCTTGGATGTCCATCAGCTCCTGGGCCGCCCTCGCCAAGGCCGCCTTCTCGTCCCTCAGCTCGCGGGACCCGGCGCGCAACTCGTCGACCTCGTGCTCGTAGTATTCCTTCTCGGTGTTGTGCACAGCCTGGCTTGCGTAGAAATTTACCCTGGCCGAATCTGCGCCTCGCTTGTGTTCCCGCTCCTCGTGCTGAGCTGATTCGACCTTCATGTCGCACTCAGCCCACGCAGCCGCGATCTGCCTGGACGCCTCGGCCTCCACCATCTCGCACTTCATGGCCGCGTCTTTGAGCTCCCCGCGCAGCTGGTCGTCCGACGACTGGGCACGTGCACCTTCGCCTCGGCGCTCTGGACCTGGTCGGTCGCCTCCGTCCACTCGGCCTGAAGCGTGTCTCGCGCCCTCTTGATCGCTCCGACTTCAGACCGCAGCTCGTTCTCAGCACGACCTGCAACCAAGACGTGATTGGCCTCGGCATCCAAGACCGGCATCTCGGCATTGTGGACATCCCTGGACCGCACCATCGCAACGTCGCGCTCCTCGACGCACTGCTGCAACTCTTGCTGGATGTGGGTGGTAGCCGCATGCCGAGCACGACAGATCTGCTGCTCGTACTCGCGCTTCTCGTGGTTCAAGTACTGCTTGGCCTCGTCGTACTCGACCCTGAGGCCGTCCCTCGCCGTCTCGAGCTCTGCCTCAGTGACCCTCAAGCGCATAGCTACGGTCTCCAACTCGTGCCTGCCCTGCTGGAAGTCAACGATGCCGGCCACATAGGCTGATCTGCTGCAGGAGCTCCACGTCGCTGCGGCGCTCGATGCCGACCTGCGATTCGGCGCTCCACGGTCTGGATCTCGGCGAAACGCCACCTCTCTGCTGGCTCGCCGAACTGGCGACGCTGCCAGCCCTCGCCTCTGGCCAAGGAGTCACGCGAACCTGGACCTCCCTCAGCTGCGACGGCCAGGCTGGCGACGTCCATCGGCAACCCGGGACTTGGGAAGGCCAACCGCGATACCTCTAAGAAGCACCTCCACTGATAAAATGCCCCCAAATGTGTCCACCAAATTTGCCCAATATTCCAAATACTGGTTTGGGAAAACTTAGAACAATTCACAGTTCTCTCGTGCACCTACTCCGCCCTACGCTCGTGCATGCGCACATGCACTGCTGACCCGTTCTCGTGCTATAACACTGCTAGCGGACTGAAAATCATGCGACTCTCAACTACGAAACCTGCTGCGCTCGACAATGGTGGCCTCGGGGCCCAACGAGCGCTGCACAAATATGCTGCCAAACCGTTGGCGGCCGAACCATAGCGACGCATGTGTCGCCATGGGTGGGGCAATTTGAAAATCTGCTTTTGTGACCCTATCGCCCCGACATTGAGACCGACAATTGACAATGTCGGTCGTCGGGACCCTATCGACATCGATCATCCGCGTTAGATGACTCTATCGTCCAACAATGCAGAACTCGATAAAAATCGCCCCCTGCCCCAAAGAAACGGCAACCAAACGCGTTAGCAAATTCCTGAAACATTTCCGAAATTATGTTCGAAACGATTCCGAAAATCGACATTCAATTAAATGCGCCCAAGGCCCATAACGGCGAACCAAAATGGGGAATTGACTACCCGAAATAAAAATACAATGACTTGCAATCTCTAACAAAAACGCACTTCTTGTTCTATGTATCTCGTAACAGCAGATGAGTCTCACCACATGCTCGAGTAAGTGAAGGCAGCACGGCTACGACTGTCAAACAGAGAAACACAAAGCAGAGGAAGAAGGAAGGAAAGGAGAGGAGCAAGAAGGGGGGGAAGAGGAGGGAGAGGAAGGGCAGCAGCAGACGACAGACGACAGGGGGGGAAGGGAGGGGGAGGGAGCGAGAGGGGAGGGCCGAGCCCCGAAGAGGCAACGCGCAACGCGCGCACCCTGCGCTCCACGCAGAGCGGCCGGGGGGGAGGAGAAGGAGAAGAGGGGGAGGGACACGAAGACGGACGAACGAAAGGCGACGGCGGGACACGACGGCAGCAGACGACGAGGGAGGAGAGGGGGGGGGAGGGGAAGGGGAGAGGAGAAGAGGGAAGACGAGAGAAAGGAAGAGCTAACCACGCCAATCCCGGCACCCACGGAGCGGGCGCGAAGCCAGCGGGAGGCGAGGGGAAAACGAAACCGGCCAGTCGTCAAAAAGGCGCGCGCGAGCACGCACGAGATTTTGAAGGCGAGATTGAAATACGCTGACACCACGAGCGGAAACAATAAAGTCAGGGAGAAGGTTATATATGCGAACGGCGCCAATAGCTGAGAAAATCTGGCGCTGTGAAGGGCGGCTCCACCAGATGGTGTCTGTGTCTTCTGGGAGCCCTGGCCGGCGGCGGCGCCGTATCCAGCTCAAAGAAGTTCTGAAAGCACGGAGGACCGAGTCCCAGAACAGCTCTGTGAATGACGCCGAGTATGCTTATGTCACGACGACTGCAAAGGGGCGCCAGATTAAAATAAAACAAAGCGCCCGCGTCTGTCACACTCAACGAACGCAGGAAGCGAGAAAGGAGAGCGTCGAGAGGAGCTAATACAGAAGACGAAGCATGATACACGGCTAAGGTTCTGCATTCAATGCACGACAAAACGCGCGCCTTAAATAGACCGATCAATTCCGCATCGGTGTGAAAACGTCTGGCGCGCAGTAGTCGTTGTATTTTCCAAGAGCACTCTACAACGCAGCTGTCGACGGCCTTGGACATGAGAAGTTTTGCATCGAACCAAATGCCTAACAATTTGAAACTGTCCCCAGCAGGCTGCACGCGTGACAAAATATGAAAACTCTCTTTGTCCGCGTCAAACTGTACTCTGTTCGCGCGGCCCCAGGCGTGGAGGGACGATTGGCACCGGCGCAAGGAAGAAAAGCCGTCCACATCTGAGACGCTCGTGGAAACAGCACGCCATGTATTAAGGTCGTCTCCAAACATACCCTCTCGAAAGCACTCTGCCCGGATGGCCATGCAAGCGTCAGCGAAAAAAGTGATCCAAAAAGGCGGCCCCCAAACAGTGCCCTGGAAAACCATGTTTTCCATGCTGAACGGGCGAGAAAGCTGGCCTCCAATCGCCACTCGCGCCTTGCGTCGGCGAAGCCAACTGGCAAAGAGAGGCAGCAGCTGGGGGGGCACGCCGGCCGACTGCAGCTTCGCACACAAGATTTCAGAATCGACTCGGTCTTTTTTTTTCTATGCGACCTCTGAAAAGCAATGCGATCTCACCATTTGTCCAGTGATGAACCGGAGGGGCGCCTCCGGCTAAAAAGTTAAGCAAAATAACACAACGCCAAAAAGCATTGCATTCGAGTGACAGCCGAGGAGAGGGAGGGGGAGGGAGGGGGGGGGGAGGGAGGGGGGGAGAGGGGAGGAAGAAGAGGGAAGCAAGCAAGCAGCAGGAGGGAGGAGAGGGCGGGCGAGAAGGGAGAGAGAAGGGCGCGAGCCCCCGAGCGCGGCAATCGCGCTCAGCGCGCGCGCTGCGATCCACGCAGGGCGGCCGGAGAGGAGGGGACAAGGAGGAGGGAGGGAGACGGCGGCGACAGCAGACGACGGCAGCAGAGGAGGACAAAGGAGAAGAAAGGAGGGAGGGAGGGGGGGGGGAAGGAGAGGCAGAAGAGGGAAGGGAAACAAGCGTGCCTCAAGGTGGACGCCAGTCCCGGCACTGTCGCAGAGGATGATGCGCCATAGGAATTCGCGGTGAAAACAGCAGGCGCCAGTCCTCGTGGAGAGAAGCGTACTCCCGCATAAACTGCGAGAGGAGGTGCTGGAAGTCGTGCACACTGTTCGCGGCGACTACACTGTCTGGGAGCAAATTGTATACTCGGGTCATACCGATGGCAGAGTGGAGCAGAAAGTCTGGCGCAAGGAAGTGCGGCTCCTCCCGGTGACGAAAGTGTCGATAGGGGGCGCGAGGGAGCGGGGAGGGAGGGGCGGGCCGGAAGAAGCGGTGAAGCTGGGCGGGACCGAGTCCGAGCGCGCTACGGTGCACCACACCAAGCATCGCAAAATCCCTCCGGACTGACAGAGGGGCTAAGTGAAAGTGCAGCAAGCCGTCGACATCAGAGATTTGCAAGGATCTCAAAAAACGACTTTGCACGTTGTCCAGGAGGGAGAGGGAGGAGGAGGAAGAGTGGGCGATAGCAGGCGTGCGATATTCGATGAAGCTTAAAACGTGTGCTTTGCACAATCGTACGATTTCACTGTCCAGATGGTATCGCTCCGACCGTACGATTGAATGAATTCGCCAGCCGGCCTCCTGTACACAGGCGCTGATGGCCTCATCCATTAAAAGCTTTGTGTCGTAACGAATGCCAAGCAGCTTAAAATTGGGGCCAGCCGGACGGCGCCTCGACAGCACGTGCGCGCTTTCCTTCGACGGATCGAAAACGACTCGGTTGGTTTCGCCCCAACGGTGGAGAGAGCGTTGGACGGCGCGCGTGCGCACAAAAGCACTTGCGTCATCCACAGCAGCCTCCAGCTCTTGGAACGCATTGAGATCGTCTGCAAACATGATATCTTCGAAATCTTCCGCGCGGATGCCCATGCAAGCGTCCGAAAAGAAAGTGTTCCACAGGACAGGGCCCCAAACTGTGCCTTGGTAGACCATATCGCGCATAGCAATTTCTCTAGACAGACTCCCCTGCACTACTACGCGGGCCGTCCGTGGCTCGAGCCAGCTAGCTATGACAGCACGCAGGCGGGGTGCGCACCCGAAACCTTGCAACTTCAGAAGCAGGCGGCGCGCGTCGACTCGATCGAAGGCCCCTGCCACATCAGAACAATAGAGGGCTACTCGGCGGCCCTTTGAAAATGCGAGCAACCATCGGAGAGTTACATAAAGCACTGCGTCTCTGGCGCCGCGGCCCAGACAATAGGCGAATTGGTTCGGACCAAAAGCGCCCACGCTTTCCAAGCGGGGTGCAAAGTGAGGGTATAGCATGCGCTCGAGAACTTTGGACATCTGCGCGGTAAGTTGAATCCCTCTGTACAGATCAGGATTCGACAGCGCTCCGCGCTTATGAATTGGGAAGATCCAGTGGATGCGCCAACACTGCGGCCACTCGCCAGAATCGATTATGCGCCGGGCTAGACGGGTCAGAGGGATAGACAAAGCTTTCGAACATCGCTTCAAAACAATGGCCGGGATCAAATCCGGACCGGTGCCGCTATCTTCCTTCAGCTGCTGGAGACAACGCCTGGCGGCGCGAGTACGCAGAGGAAGGAAGGAGGGAAGGGGGGGAGCAAGAAGAGGAATGGACAAATCGCTGAATTCGTTTTGAACCTCTGTGGGCAAGCTCCACTTGGCAACAAAGCAATCCGCAAAGACTTCGGCCTTCGCGTCCCGAGAGAGAGCCCAGGAGCCATTCGAACGCTTTAGTGCTGAACTGCTAGGCTTCGACGTGCGGTGCATCAGCTGATCAGATAAACGCCACCATTGCTTACTACCTCTGCGCAGGGAGCGCAATTTTGCGCGCACGCGGGTCACATGACTCGAATAAGCTCGAAGAAGGCTCTGGCTGCATGCGACGCTTGCTGCCAGAAAGGCCTCAGTGCCGGCAGCCTCGCACTTCCGGCGTACAAGACCGAGACACTGCGAATCCAGCCAGGGGTGAGAACTCTGAAAATGACCAGCGCTGCTAGGAATGAAAGCTGCCATGCCTCGCAAAATCACGTCGCTAATACGGTTCGCTGCTGCACTGGGCGTCGTGGAATCTATCC